AAAAAAAAAAAAAAAAAAAAATCAGAAATGATAGCACTCCAAATCCTTGGAAGTAGCAATAGCAGAGGGTATTCTGTTCAACTGTTCAAGTTCAAGATAGATAACCCATGATATGGTGAATTTTTTTACAAAAGAAATAAGCATGTAAAAATTAAGTGGCTTTTAAAAATTAAATCTTTTAACAACCTTTTATACATTTTACTACAAAATGAGGGCTTTTTCAAGATACAAGCACAAAAAGAGCATGGTCGTGCGGTATGTGGCGCTGCAAACACATTTGCAGCACCACATACCGCATAGTCCACTGTTCTCTGCGCTGCAAGGGCACGCAGCCTGAGTGTGCGCTGCACCAGGTTTAGTTCCATGGTTTTTTTTGACCTCTGGATATCCAGGGGTCAAAAAACAAACAAACATGGAAAAAAAAAACTGGAGCAATGGACATTCGGTCAGCATGCGCTGCAGAATAAAGTGGAGCCAGGCCACCCAAAGCCATGCTCCACACAGCAGAATCACTGTGGCTGCAGTGGCTGGGAGGCCCCCAGTACCCTAGGTAAGGTTGGTGGGGCTAGCCCAGTGCTGGCTGCATCCTTCTCTACCCCATCTGGGGCAACTTGCCATATGTCAAAGTGCGCGTGGCACAGGCGTTCCCCGGGGACAAGAAGCGGTGGCGCAAGGTGCACTGCCACTACTTCTCCCCAGGAAGCCAAACATCCACACATGCCTGGATGTGCCAATTGACTTCAGAAGATTTAGAAACCAATCTTGATGTAAAGGCTTCAAGTTATGGAAGACAAATCTGAATCCTTCCTAAGTTTTTCCTTTCAGTGGTTAATAACTTCACTGTTAGACAGTTGCACTCTCATTTGACTCCAAATTTTCTAGCATCAGCTTCCAACCACTAGATTTGTTACATTTTTATTTGTCACATTAAAGGACCCTGCACTATTTAATTAATTATTAATCAACACTTTGATACACTAAATAAAGAAGCTTCGTTAGTCTCTCCTTATAAAAGCATATTTACCAAAACCCAAACCACTTTTGCAGCTTTCTTAATTTTTTTTCTCCCTAAAATATTTCCTTTCCCTTTTTTCAGCTGTAACCTTTTGGAATTTTTCAACATCTTGTATGGAAGAGTGGCCAGAAGACTGCCCTCAGTATACCAGTAATGGTGCCAGTAATTCTATATACAGAAATAATGTCCCCTCTTCTCTACTACTTGATATTCCTTAAAAAAAAAAAATTACACACACACACACACACACACACACGGATTGTATTAGCTCTGTTAATCACAGCATCACATCAGGAGCTCATATTCAGCTGGCTGTCTACCTTTGACCCAATTTCTTTTTTCAGAGTTGCTTCATTGTTTTCCACGACTCAGTCCCAATCCTTATATACATATTTCCTAAACACTTGTATTTGGGGGTACTATGTGAATACATACACACAAAATTATAGAGATGTACATAGTAAAAATGATACAACAGTGGACAGTAGCAGCTATTTCTATACATGTATTAAAGATTTTAGGCCATGTACACATGTTATGTTTCCAATGGGAGAATTGCTCTACTTCTAGTAGAAACTATGAACATAGAAATGTTCATTCATTTTCTCCTGGTGGGGAATGTGACCCCTCTGGGAGAAAGATCTTCCAGGTGTCAATATTCCTCTGAGATAGAAACTCTCACAAGAATAAATGCTTGTACTCTCCCCTACCAGTCTGGTCTGGGAGGGGAGTGGAGCAGCCAGAACAATCTTTCAGTTGCAATAACTGGAATTGCCATCCTGCTCCACTCTTCTCCAGGACTCTTCTCTCCCTGCCCTCGTTTCCAGTCCTGCAGGCTTCAAATGTTGCATGTGCTGCCCTGCTAGGTGTCACACTTGATGATTTAAAAACTAGGGAGCCTAGGACTGTTTCCCCATTCCTCTGGCTTTAAATCAGGCAATTCCTTGCCTGTATGCAGCCCAAATGGGGATTTAAAAGCCAGTGTGGGAGGGTCTGCCTCTCAACAGCCTGCCCCATTCCCAAGCAGGGGAGAGGACAAGCTGTTAAGTAATGGGTTCCCTTAAGGGTAGGAATAGCCCAGGGAGCAGACCATCGATGGTCCCTGGCTAGAAAGTTTGCTTGTGTAAACTCTCCAGACAGGGGACTGGAACACATTTATGAGCCATCTTTCTACTGGTAAGAATTCCAGAGAAATTCGGAGAGTATGCACAACTGGTCATTTATTTAGTTTATAATTAGTTGCACATATTATTATTTAAATTACATCTAATTACTTTTTTGCTTTCTCTTTGAAGAGTAAGCCATCAAGAAAATGACAGAGACCCAACTTACTATTTCTGTAGCAACTTAAAACAGCAATGGTTTTTACAATGAAGGAAATACATAAGTCTAAAAGACAAACATCATTTTGTCTGGAGCTGAGGAGAGAGCTTGACCAAATTTGCATAATGTAACACTAAGCAGTATAGCTATAAAACTGTGTTAAACTTAACTAATGGAAATCCATTATAGAAAATATTTTATCCTGTTTTTAAGCCCTCATTGCGTGCTGTTTATAGAACACATTTGTGCGGCAAGATGTTGTGTCAGCAGCTGAACAAATGACATGCTTCTTTCTCCAGTCCTGATTCTGCAAGAAGCTCTGCAGAAAACTCTTTTGTGCCTGTGGAGTCCAACAAAAGGATAAGGGCCTAAGTCAATAATAAACCAATGAGCCAGTATTAGTTAAGGGGACCAGTCGTGAAGAGAGCATTGTTACGTAGTAATGTTTATATACGAGTGCTGTCCTGACCACCTCTGATCATTAGACTTTTTAGCACTCTTTAAGTAACACTTATTTGTCTTGGTCTAATTCTAACACAGGTGATTCCATTTTGCATATTCCCTAGCGTTTCAAATGAAAAGCTCCTTCTTTAATGCTTCCTTTTTAAACAGGTCTGTGGCATTAATTTGCATAGTTAAAAAGATGCTATATTTCATTGCAGAGTTCGCAGAATTCAAGTGGTAGATAAAACAATCCCAATGGTATTCCTGTACCCATTGTATGTGGTTGCTGTGAAGTTTTAATGAAATAAAGTACTTTCAGATGCTTAAGCGAAAGGTGCTATAGAGTTAGTATTATAGCTCTACTGATACTTATTACAATTCAATAACTGTAATGTATGAAGTCATTGGCTTTCAAGAACTACTCTATAAGAAGGATACATTATACAAAATATTAACATTTACTCCTACTTAGCATTTACTATCAGGACAGAGAAAAAACTTTAAAAAGAAATCTCAAATCATTAACACTGTATTTGTAAATACAATGGATAGGATAAGGATGTTTAAATGCGAAGTATTTGAATGACTATTTCTTTCTGTTTAGTACCCTGGCTGCTAGACACCGAGATTGTCTGGGCCTATGTGCGGTATTCAAATGACTAAATTATAATATCAGTGCCCTTTTGCACAAGAATGTAAACTCATGGCTGGGACCACCTGAAACATAATACAGTCAATCTCATCTCTGACCTTGGTATCAAGTACATCCCATGTCCAACTACTCTAAATTGATTATGAATAAGTTTCCCTTTCAATGTGATTGCCTCTTCCTTGTCATCAGATCCCTCACCAATCTACGTGTCTGTCTGTACCAGAAAATATTTTGGGTTCCACCCTGTTATCACAACAACCTATACAGTGCCTTACCATTCAAGGTCTAAGGTGCTCAGGTCAAGTAATCAAGTCCTACTGCAATTAAAGCAAGTAGTATACCTCCAGTTTCGAGTGTTGGGCTCGAGCAATCAAGCCACACTATAGTTAAGCAACTGATAAACCTCCAGAGTGATCAAGGGATTTTGTGCATGTCAGTTTCACTCACAACAACTAGAGATAGATCCAAAAGGCTAACATTTACTCCACAACCAAAAAACAATGATCTCCATATTGTCAGCTTTGCCTAGACCTTGATCTTCAACCCATCAAGAAAAATATGCTTTGAAGAATGAGTATAAGGGAAGGATGGAGCCGGCAGCAAGTAGTGCTCATCTCAGAAGGGAAACACCACACTGACCCATCATAACCTGCGCCCAGCTGACCACCCTGGGTGACAGATCCACACCTGGTGAGAGGCTGCAAAGATCAGAACCCCTTCCTTGCCTGTGCTGGTGAGAAAACCACTGTTATGGCTAGAAATATACTGGACTTGATTATAGATAGTTTTGCTTGTAGATTGCAATAGCATACCTGTCATTTTCCTATATAGATCGTTTAGTTAATAAAGACTTTCTGCTTATTATCGATGGAAATGTCGTGTCAGTCTTCCTAAGCACCCCATTGTTAATTGCAACACTGGTCATCTCTGCAAGACCATTCATAGCATCTGACAAAGTAACCTTTAGCCAAGGAAAGCTTGTGCCTCTCTGAGGCTACAAATAGATGTTGCATTTATCCTGGAATAAACCATTTTATGTCTGTTGCCCTGGGATACGTCCTAAAACGGTTCACATCCTAAAAACATTGGTATAAATTGCTAAGAAGTATTATCAATTTATCCCAACACACTGCAAAGTAGGTCTTATCAGTTATCCTGGGATTGCATCATTGAGCATTCAGCTGCTCACTAAACCCTGATTAAAAGGGCAGTGTGTGTACATGCCAATCCCAAGATATTTCTGTCGAAAAAAACACAGACTCAATTTTGCCAGGACCAAATGCAACATCTGTTTTGAGCCTGAATGAGTTAGTTTATAAGTTGCCACCCTGCCATGCCTTCTGCCATAATGAATTTATAATC